ATGAACTTGGCATTATATACGTAGGAACAAAGTCCTGAGGTTCAAGACAGACAGAGGGCTGAGCAACGTGTCTGAAGTTGCCTGAGACATGCAGGTCCTCAGAGCAAAGTTTACACAGGTCTTGGTCTGCACTGGTCTGCCCACCCCCACCCTCTGCAACCCACACCACCACCCAGATGTGCCACTGATGGTCGGTAGAACCACAGGGTGGGGAACAGGGGAGGGAATTACTCAGGAAGACATGCAACTGAACTCTGAGGCCCGTCCCGCTGAGGAAGGCTCATGCGTATCCTTTGGCTGCTCTGATCCCCGACTGCATGGTGGTGGGGCTGAGCACGCCGCGGTCTCCCAGGAAATGGTACTTTTTAAAGAGAACCGTGGAGAAGCAGCAGTGTGAGACTGCAGTGCGCACACGGTACGCGGGGCATGAGTCACCGTCCCGCTGGGGTGTCTAGACGTCTCGGTGGCATCTTTAAACTGCCTGAGTCATCACATTATATTCTATGTCTTCCTAAATTGAATGAAGCCTCCAGGGCATAAATCAGGTCTTATTTCTTCAGCACCTCAGCTTTTTGCCTGGCCCTTAATAAATGTCTTGAATAAAGAAGGGCGTGTTGCAGGCCCCTAGGAACAGTCACGAGGGTGAAATCTGACATTGACACGTGATGCTTTGTGGTTGAAACGGACTTCTCTCCCGTGCATTATGTACCTGATCCTTGTAACAGCCCTTCAGTGACAACTGCATCCCCACATGGTCCCCGCTGTGTGAGGGCTGCTGGTGAACCTCCTCTTGGAGGCCTTCCCTTGCGTCACTGAACTAGCTTGAATTTCCTCCAGGGCCCTGGACATGTGTGGGTGGAGACATTTTTCTCTTCCTGCTTCGAAAGGCCCTCTGCAAGCACTGAGCCCAACACTGTCCTGAACCAGCTGGGTGAGTGTCTGCAAGCATTTAAGGACTCGGGCACAGCACCCCTCTCTGCGGGAGAAACAGACCACCCAGCAGCCGCCAGTGAGTGTGGGACTTAGTGGTCCAGTGGGGCTGCTAGGCCGCCCCCATCCAGTCTGGGCCGTTCCTTGTTACCTCTTAGAGCATCGCTGAACCTGGCAGGGAAGCAAATTCCTGATAGGTGCAGACGTGCCGTCACTGATCGGTTCCCACTGGTAGGATACGTGCCTACATTTTATACTCGTTTACTTATATATGACAATTGAAGTCTTAGTCCAGTCGTCTGCAAGCCACAGAGGTGTCACAGAAGCAGCCACGACCCTTCAGAGACTGTTGGCAGCGACTCCCCAGTCTCTGGACAGCTCCAGCTGCGCCATGCCACGCCCTGGGCCATCCCCGCCACCTGTCCCCCCGGGCCTCCTGAGTTCCAGGAAAGGACTGTTCCGAATTGAGCATCTATTTTCTTTTCTAAATGGCTCTTCTCCAGCTCGGTGACCTTTTTAGTTCCACTGGATAATAGGTTTTGACCTAAAAAATAATGTCCTTCCTCAGAGTCAGCATGGATGACCTGCAGTTCCCTCCAACCCCGAGACTCTCTGGCTCCCAGACGCTGCGTTCTCACTGCCTAGCTCCCCCGTCCCTATGCTCAAGTCGTAAGCCGGACAATGGTTCCTCTTCATTCCTAGGTTGTTCTCACGAACAACAAATCAGTAACCAGAAAGTTCTCCCCTCCCTCTGCACCCCAAGCTAATCTTTAACTCCTTCTCCCATTGTCCAGGCTTTAACGCGGGGTGGCTTGTGTTTGCATGACCTGACCGTTCACCGTGAAATGATGGCCGGGCAAGGATGGCCTCCTAGGCACCTCCGCTGAGTCATGGGTCACCCTCAGCCCTGCTCAGATGCCCCCTGCCGCACTGCTCCCAGAGGCCCTGCCAGAAGAGCAGCTTCTACGCTGTTCTTCCGAGCAAGGTGGAAGCTGTTACTATAGAGACAGAGACACCCACGCTTTGAGAAAGCAGCACCCACTGCTTGCACTGAGATGCTTCTGTGCCCTGTGAACAGTGGTAGCCTTGTGCTGCATGAGGCACAGAGCATTCGTTTTGGGGGAAGCCCCTCTGAGCTGGCCCAGAACCCATCATACCTCTCATCAGAGTGGCCGCTGTAATTATTGTGCCATAGTTATAGTTCAGAAATGAATAGTATTTGCTGCTACATGTTGCTGATAACTCCCTCCCTGGGCTCAAACTTCAAGAGCAGAAATTTCAGAGATGTGGCTGATAGTCTAGCAAGTATTGGCTCACCGAGGCCTGGCCCTACGACCCCACAGAGCAAAGGAAACCTCACAGGCACAGACCGCATCTGTTGCTGCGTTCTCTCAAGTCTGTTCCCCTTTACGGGAGCCAAGAGACAATCATTCATTCCTCCATTCATTCATTCATTTAATCAGCCAGTAAATGTGAGTGGATGTAAAATAAGTTCAACTCCTAGACTTTGACTCAGTTCCTAACAATGCCAATGATGGCAACTTTTATTCACTGAGCACCCACCAGGTGTGGTGTTAGCCCATTTACCTCTCACACACAGCCATGATGGTGCCGTTACACAGACAAGGGAACTGAGGCGCAGAAGCTGTGACTTGTTCAAAGCTCCCACTAAATCCAAACAGGTCCCTGGGCCTCCAAACCCTGTGCTGTCTGCGCACTGCTGAGCTCTCAGTCAGGAGCAGGAAACGAGACCCAGCCAGGTGAAGTCCTGGGTGATGGGCAGCAGGCATCCAGGGTGATATTCAGCAGACATCCAGTAGTGAAAACAGAGGTGGAGGTGGAGCTGTCCCTGCCCGTGTGCAGGACAAGGGCGACTGACGTAACTGGCTGGTAAAAGCCGACCTGAGTCAAAACGCATGTGGTTTCTGACCAGCCCTGGGCCTGGACGGGGAGCTAGCAACCCAGTTCCAAAGGCACAGTTTGGAAAATGCTTAGGGGCTTTCCTCCTCTAATCTGAGCCACAGGTATCCCTGGAACTGAGGCCCCATGCTGTGATGCATATTTGAACAATTTGAAACATAAATCTCCAAACTGCTGCAAGAGGACAGGCGTGGATATGCGCCGCCCTACGTCACACCCAGGGCCCGGGTCTCCCCACAGGAGGGCCTTCAGGACTGCAACAGCCCCGGTCATTTGGTCCCATTCAGCCGGTTTTCCCGCTCTTTCTTGGAGGGTGCTTTTCTTTTATGCATGAGTGCATTTGGGTTTTATTTTTCTCATCTTTGCAAAAATAATTCAAACAGGTTCTGAGGCGGCACCTGTGGGGGTGCCAAGTGTTGGCCAATTAGCCCAGCCTGAAATCTTCCCGTCCCTTGTGGCTTACCTGTTCTGGCATTCGGCAGCAGGATGGTCACACACCGGTTCTGCCTATTTAGGAAACCTCTCAATGATTACCTGTCAGAGAGAGACATCCTCTTTTTAGGTGGATTCAGAATGTCGCCACCCGTAACACATCAGCTCCACAAATGCTGGGTTTCTCCCACTCTGAACCGGCTCACAAAGGTGTACGTGCTGCTGTGGACCAGGGACGCCTCCAGGGGCTCCCTGAATTGGTCAGTGTTTTAATCAAATGCTAACGATGTGGTGCCGATACGTAACAGGGCACTGCAATAGGATATTTAAAATAAGGCACTAATTGGGAAGGGGAGATAATAGGAACAGACTGATTAGAAATTGGGTTGACCCAAAGGAGCGCCTCTGAAATGTCTGAGTGCACGCAGAGCCCCAAAGAATGGGTGGGCAAACATCCCCAGTTTATCTTTGTGTTGAAAAAAGCTGAAGTATGGCCGACTCAGCTGCCCCATGCTGGAGAGTTAGCTTGTAAATACTGGGGGTTTCTTCCAGTTTTCATGGTGGGGAGTCTGTGTGAGTTTCTGGTGTGTCCTCCCAAGTGGGATAAGGTTGGGATGTGACATCAGTTGATCTGGGGCTGTGGGACAAGGCCCCACATGCCACTGTGCGCACTGTGGGGCACATGGCTGAAAAGGGGAACCTTCACCATGCCTCCAAATAATCCGGTTCACCTAAATGCCCTCAGATCGGGCACAGAAAAAACAGATCCGGTTGCTCTGAGGGTTGGCTTTAGGTTCAACTGCTCGGTCATCAACGATAGAGGTGGAGTTTGATAAACCCATACTGAGTCATCTTCTGTTAAGGAATCGATTCAGAATCCCTTCATTTAACTATTAAAAACCGAATCTGTCCTCATCCAGACCTCTAACAATAAGTGAAATTGGCCTCTTTATCTAACTAAATCGTTTCTCTACTCCCCTTGTTAAAATGAATATAATAACACATATCTGGGCTGAGTTCTGTGACGTGTCCTGGTCACATAGCAAACCAGCCGGGGCCTCTGTCAGCTGTGGCTGAGCCCGTGGGATGCACGAGGCAGCCGTCGTACGTTGATTCTAGTTGGATCTGATGCTAATTTCAGTGCTTTAAGAATCTGAGATGAGAAAATGTTATATCAGCCTTAAAAATCCCTTCAGTTTCAAAGGGTTTTCTTCAACTTGTAACTAACATATTTTTTTCGAACACTTTCTGGGTCATGACCCACAGTGAAAAATGCATATTAAACTATCACACAGTGCATACACCGTGTAAATATATGTGTGCACCTGAAACAGTTTTCACACATGTACACAAGAATTTTAGTGTATGCAGTGCTTTTTCTGGTATATTCTATTCTATCTCTTCATCTTTCTAAAGCTCACTTAGCAAGGACCAGTTAAATTGATTTCGTGATCCAGTGATGATTCACAGTACAGTTTGGGAACCCAGTTCTAAGGGACTTGAAGGGACTGGGCTGCTATTGATGATAATCAGGGTTTCCTCAAGGCCTGAGGAGGTGGCTACATCTTTTTCAGTGCATAGTTCAGTCTAGAAGGCAGCTGAGCAGTGGGAACACGGCTCGCCAAGTAGCCTGGACGGTCCAGTGGACAGCGTCTGGCCCCGGTTTGGTTTCCACAGTGTTCTAACACCGTGTCTGTTTGTGCTTGGCAGTAACACTGTGCCTCATCTTTTTCCTCTAACCTTTTATTCCTGCCATGTAGGCTGACAACAGAATATCCAGGGCACTATGGTGAAGAAATGGACATGATTTCCTACAACTACGACTACTACATCCGGGGAGCAACGACCACTTTCTCTGCAGTGGAAAGGTGAGCCTCCCACGGGCAGGGAGCTGCAGGAGCTGGGGGCCAGCTGCATGCAAGGGCCGTGCCTGCAGAGATCCTGAACTGGGGCTTTCCCTGCTTTAGTTTCCCACCTGGTCCAGGAGGAGCGGGACTGACGGGGTGGTGGGTGCAGGGGATCGGGCAGCTCGCACCGGGCGCGTTTTCAGGGAGTGTCCCGCCCTCGGGAAGGAGGACAGGTCTCAGCCTGCTCCCGGGAAGGAGCCCCTCAGCCTGGTGCCCAGGGCATTTCCCTTCCTTTAGTCTCAAGAGCACTTTCCTCACTGACCATCAGGAAGGGAGGGCAAAGAGGCTGACAGAGTTCCCACTACCTGCACCCTCTCCGGTGCCGTGGGCCATGTCACCCCCACTTTGGGAGAACAAGGAGAAAGAGAGGCCTGGAGAGAAGAAAAACACGAATTCCCAGCCACACAGAAATGAAGGGGAGGGTTGACATAACCTAGGGGAAAAACGCACCAACCTTCTTATTCCCCCACACACCCAGCTCCCCAGACACATCAGAGCAGGACAGTGAGGAGACAGGAGCCTTCCCCACTAACAAGGAGGGAGGTGTGGGTACATTCAGGCTTTCAAAGGTCGATTGGACCTACTTTGAGTCAGCTAATAATCACTTTACACAGCCCGTGAATTCCTGAAAAGTCACCAACAAGGTTTTTGCAAACAGAACAGAACCTACATTAACTATCAAATACTGGACTGTGATGGATTCTAGCGCCACTGCACTTCCATGTATATTTATGTTCCAAATGAAGTGACATCGAGCCTGGCTGCAGATATCACGTATGGCCCAGAATTTTAAAGAGCAAAAACCAAAGGAAATAATAAGTAACTCTGATGACACAATATGTGCTCAGGTTCCGTGAACAAACCCCTTGTGGTGACTCACAGGAGAGCCACTCACATCAATCATTTTTATTTTAGATACAATTTTAACTAGCTTAGTTACCTATTTTCTAGAAGCAGCCAATTAAGAGATGACAGTACTCAGAATGCAACTTGCTTCACCAGTGAGAATAGCTGAATGATGCAACACCCGCTAAATATAGATTCAAGGGAAAGAAAGAGCTAAGAACTCAAAGGCCAAGGAAGCCCAGTGACGTGTCACGGGCAGCGGGAAGCAGCGGGCAGCAGCGTAGCAGGGCGCTCAGGACCCTCATGACGTCTCCAAGTCACTCAGGGAATCGGTTCTGCATTCTCTGTCTGAGAAGGCAGGAAAAAAGCCAGTAAAGAAAGAACACCTTCCCAAATGGTGGCAAAATAAATGTATTTTGGGCAGTTTGACTTGTCCCATTCCTGTGGGCTGAGACATTTTCAGTTATGTGAATAGACCCAGAACTTTGGAAAACTGAGATACTATGTCCCGCCCTGGTTCACAAGGCTTATGCTCATGGCATTGCTGTGGTCACTAGTGGTCTGTGGCTTAAAGATCACAGCGAGGGTTCCTTCCGCTCTGCTGGAAGACGCTGAGGCCACCGCCCTGGAAACAGGGTCCGGGCAGAGCTTTCCCTCCGTGTGCAAATCTTTGTGGTTTCCTCCTAGAACGGAGTAGTTCGGCCTGTGCTCTGTCGGCTCCTGGGGCAGGAGGCTGTCCGTGCATTCTAGAAGTTAACAGCATTCCTGGCCCCTACCTGGCAGGCGCTGCCTCCCCCCACCGCCCCACACGATTGTGATAACTAAACACCCTGGAGGGGCAAAATTGCTACTATGGGGGAACCCCCGTCCTGGAGGGAAACCAGAGACCAGCCCAGTGAGTCTCCCGGGTAGGTTCTTGGTCCTCAGTCCTCATACAATCAAGTCTGAATTTTGCTCAGCATCATTAATAGCCTCTTAAAAGACAGCGTGAAGGCCTGACTTAACTGCAGTAATGAGATTCGTCTGATAAACACACATGTCGCCAAACCGCCGATCTCCAAAGCGAGCCAGTTCCTCTGTGGACAACTGCAGGAGTAAGTATTGACTAAGAGTGGTGACCCAGGTTCTGAAAGACTTGCCCTGGGAGACCCTATTCCAGTGTTCTGAACCGGAGCAGCAGATTCGGAGTTGCAAAGTCTGCCTTAGGCTTCTTGAGCAAGAGCTTCTTCCAGAACTGACAGTGGTCAGTCTCACCTCCTAGATCAGAGGCTGGAAGGAGACCTTGTCAGGGCTGGTGTTTAGCACAGAGAGAAGGGGGAAAGGCCTTGCAAGCAGAAAAGCGAGAAGGAGAATTCTAAGGTGGAATGACCCATGTGCTTTGGAAGCATTTGCACAATCATATAAATAAGGAATGACATTTTTGCCCTTTATCTGGACTTTGCAAAGGAAGTGACAGCCACGTCCCCTGAGGGGGTTTTGTGTATCTACTGGTGGAGACATTGTGGCATAGGAGAAAGAGCAAGACTTGAATTCAACAAACTTGGAATCTGAAATTGTCACCTAATTATCTTAAAGAAAGTCTCCTATTTCCCTGACTCTGCATTTCACCTAAACAACAGAGCCCTGTGAGGATTAAATGAGAAACCCAGAAGGTGTGTGGTTCACCCTGACCGTGGGCCATACTTGGCAGTAGTGCCACATTCCTGTTTCCATTGCTAATGATGCTAATGACGTGAGAACAGAGACGCACCTTACTGCAAGGCAGGCACCCCACACGTCTTTATTAAATGGGCAGACAAGGAGCAGAGGCGTGCCCTTAGCAAAGAACATTCCTTGAAATGTATCCACACTACATTTTTCAAAATTGAGCAACCCCACATCCTCTCACACCCGTGCCTGACCTCTTAAACAAATATGCAATTAGATTTCTGTTGTGCAAGATAGGCAGGCATTTTCGTTTTCACTGTATGGGGTTTTAGGTCCATCTCCCTGACTTCATTTCTCTGTAAGGGCACCTGTAATAGGAAACCCATAGTGCACAGCTGGAGGCCTAGCATGTGGTCAAGAAAACAGCGTAGAACAAATGCATGTCCCGTGGAGGAGGAGATTTCTTTACAACCAAATGGAGACAATGTTAAATCAATGCCTGTTTCCCAAGCGGGTGGCCTCTGTGCCCTTGAGGTACCCTTGGGCCAGAGCCTGGTGAGCAGCCCCTGCAGATGATCAGGCGTCAGCCGCGTGCGTCACCGTGGAGGTGCAGCCTGCCGGGGTGCACGGGGGACTCCCCGCTGGTTTCCTGGAGACCCGCTGAGGTGTCTCCTGAGACCCACGTGGCGTGGGGTGTCCCTCCGGCTCCTGACCTCTCCAGGCAGTGGCTCGGTCTCCGCACCTCCCTCACCCAGCCTGGCCTGACTCTCCCCACAGGGATCGCCAGTGGAAGTTCATCATGTGCCGGATGACGGACTACGACTGTGACTTTGTGAGCGTGTAGGTCTGCCACGGACCCGTCTGGCCGAGGACCTCGGCTGCCCAACCCCCGGGCGGCTCCCTGAGCGCTCGGTAGCCGCAACACCAGCCCTCTAGGCCCCTCCAACTAGTGTCACGCCTCTAATAAAATCCACAATAAACCACGCTTGTCACCCTCAACACGTGCATGGCAGCCATTTGGGGGAAACGCCGCTGTTCCAGGGGGCTCAGCTTGAAGGGAGGCTTGCCTGGCCGGCTGGTGGTGCTCCTTCTCCAAACATGAGAAAAGGTGCTGCAGCCACGTGGGGTCGGGTGAAACCCAGGGAGCCCCCAAGCCTGGGGACCTGCTTCCCCTCTGCCCTCCACATAAGCTGTACTTGCCTGGAAGTTCATTGCCAGGGGTGAGGGGCCTGGAAGCTGGGAGACTGGCGGGCCTGGGGCGGAGCTGAGAGGCAGGACTGGAAGACTCTCCTGAACTGGAAGAGGATCCTAAAGAGAACAGGCAGGCTTCAGAGCAGCCCCTGAGAATCAGCCTTCAGTAAGGCAAACAAGGGAGAAGAGAGAGGTCAGGGAAGGGGAGCCCAGGGCACGTGCTTTGGGAAACGGCACCAGGGGGCGTGGCCAGGGCTCTGGGAGGCTGGCCTGCACCCCACAGCCCCGGGCTCCTGGCAGACTCACGGGACGGTCCTGGTTTTCTGCATGGGAGAGGCTGCTTTGGGTCGGGGGGAGTCCAGTTCCCCACCATGTGCAGTTTGGGGGCGTCTTTTGCAAGGCGGCCCCATGCTCCCCCCTCCTGTCCCCAGCCCTTTTACTCATTCTCCTCATCGTGGAAGGAATGACAGTACTGACCTCAGCACCAGGCTGCAGATGTTAAGGGTCAGCTTTTGCGCGCTCCACCCCCCCCTTCCTGATCATCCAACCGTCCATTCAGAAAACAGCTTGTTGTGCCTGCACCGCACACGGCGCCAGGAACACGGCAATGGCCGTGACAGCGTGTGATGGGGGGAGTCCAACCAGTAAAACAGAAAGTACCAGGGGCATTAAGGTTGGGCAAAGGCTGGAATCGCATTTCTTTGCCTTTGAACCCAGCCTGGTGGTGCTCAGCACCCTTCAGCCCCTCCCAGCACCAGGTGCCACGTGCATCTTCAGCCACAGGGAGCGCTTGTCTCCATTATGCACACAGTCCACTGTGTTTCAGGCCGGCGCTGCCCTGTCTCCTCTCCCCCTGCAGGCCCAGGAGAGCAGGCAGCCGGCCATGGGGCCCCCACCTTGCTGCACGTCCTGTGCGGCCGGGGGTGACCATCAGCTGGCGGTGCTGGGCGAGGCCCCCTCCTGGGAAGGGGAAGGCAGGGCTGAGGACGGCCCCCTTTGCCTCCCTTGTCCTCGGAGGCCCTTTTTCATGCTGCAGTTTTGTTCTATTCCCTCCATTTTATTGTTGCCACCTATATGGCAATTCTAATTTACAATAGGCTTCACTGTGTTATTTTTCACAAAGGAACTATTAATATTTTAGCAATTGCAGTGTTGGCTCAGGGTGGAGCTGGGAAGAGGCCTTCACTGGTGTGTGGAGCTCAGCTGGGAGACAAACCCCGCCAAGGGGCTGGCCAGGCAGCCACGGTGAGAACAGGCTGGCACCAGGCTGGGAGAACAAGGCAGGCAGATGGGTGGGGAGGTGCCCGGAGGGCAGGCCAGAGCCTGCAGGCCAGCGCAAGTCCGGAGCAGAGTGGCAAAGCCACCCAGGGAAGGCCTGGGCCAAGCGGAACAAATGGGAAGGTTTTTACCAGCAGAAACACTGTTCTTTGCATACAGGTGAAGGACAACAGTCAAAGACGCTCTCACCTTGGTTCCAATCTGAATACTTTGCTTTCTAATACTTTCTATTAGATGCCAGTCAGCAAGAACTCAGTGTGGTACTGGGGCTAACCCCACACCCTCTGACCACAAGCGCTCACTGCTCCAGCCCTTCCACCAACCTGCTCCGCGGCCCTGCCCGAGGCCCTCCCACCCTGGGGGGGCACCATCTGGTCGTCAGCGTGGTCTCCCACGATTAGGATTCTGTGCACGCCATCATCCACCCCCAGTTGTTCACAGCGGGCTTTCTTAGGGTGCTTTCTTCCAGAGAAGCGTGGGGTGAGAGCCAGGTGCCCAGGGCCTAGCCCGGCCCCAGCAGGGGCGGCTGAGCAACAGCAGACGGGTCTGCAGGCCTCCACCTCCTCATCTGCCGCTGGGGGCGGGAATCCCTTTGCCAACAAGCTCACGTAGAATGGGGAGAAGGGGCACACGCTTCCCACCTCACGGGGCCTGCAGCCCACCAGGGAGAGATGAGAAAATAGAGACTAAAGACCCTCGTGCAGGAGCGTGTTCTGAGGAGGCCGAGTCTACTTGTGGCCCCAAAGGGCAGGTAGGGCTTCTGGGAGAGTGAGGGCGTGTGGGCCCTGCATTCCGCCTGCCGGCGCAAAACCTGGTTCAGCCTCCTCCCAGCGCGTGGCCTTGGCCCAGGCACCGCCTTTCCTGAGACTGTGTTTCCTGACCAGTAAAGAGGGTACTAGTGTCTGAGTCACAGGGTTGTCGTGAGGATTAAGGGAGGCCTCATAATGTCTTGTACAAGACAAGTACCCAATAAATGTAGGAAGAGGAATGGAAGTATTATTAGCATATATTAGAAATAATGGTCCTCGGGTCAGCCGCATATCAGTACAGGTCAGTAACAGGAAAAGCCCGTGAAAGAGGGGGGACTTAACGCTTCGCTCTCGTTCATTCATTTATTCGATGACTGAAACAGTAAATTGTTCAGTGCTTGTTATATGCCAACCACGGTTCCTGCGTTCCAGAGGACTGTGGACTGAAGGAGTCAGACAAGCAGATAAGCCTTCACCGTCCCCATGGATGAGTCGGGGGCAGGCGGCCTCTCCGCAGAGAGTGGGGGGCGTGGGGCAGGGAGGGGAGGGTGGCATTTCAGACAATGCGAACAGTACACGGGAGGCGTAAGGGGATGGATGGGCTTAGGAAAGTTGCCCTGGGAAATAAGAGTGTCACCAGGAGGGCATGGGTGGCCCGGCGAGCGTCACCAGGTCCTGGTGCTGTGCCACTATTTGGATACACTAACTGCAATTTACCCTCATCTACCTGCAACTCACATTTCAGCTGAGGCCTCCCAGAAATCTAGGGAGTGGGAATTCATCGACCCTGCCTGCTCTGACCCCCACAAGGCCAACACCCCACACACAATACCAGGACCCAGGAAGGCCTCTCTCCACCCTGGGTCTTCAACCACACAGACTGTCTTTATGGTCAACTGCTTTGACCCAGACATGAAACACAACATTTATTTTTAGTTCCTTCAGAAGAATGTATTCTCACAAGAGCATCTGTGAATCCACAAACACAAAAATAAGGAACCAAGTACGGCTTTAAAGCCTAGGCACCTCCTCTCCTGTGGGTCGTTCCCACCCACCTGCAGTCAGGGACCCCCCTGCCTCCAGGCCCCCGTCTCCCTGGCCCTCTTCTTGGCTCCCAGATTGTTCTCCCCTGATAATGAGGGGAGACAGTGCTGCGGGCAGCCCCTGCCCCAACAGCTGTGCACAGCAACGTGGCCAGCAAACCTGGGCCACATAGTTGGAGCATCTGCTCTCCTTACAAAACTTCATTTGATTTTAATTACACCACTTCTGTTTAGTCCATGAAATTAAATCACTCTCTTAAGACGTGGTACCTGAGTGTGGTTTCCATTCTGGGGTCCAGGGTCAGGGAAGGAAGCAAAGCCCTTTGCAGAATGGTGCCGGACCTGCATGGGTGTGTCGTCCCTTACCTGTGAACTTGCTGAATTTCGTTTACCCACCTACTCCTGTGCAGAGCAAGAATAAGACAGCAGACTTACATCAAAATTCATTTTAAGTAATAATATAGTCACACATAGCTCAGATTTTCATGGGACCTGTGATTTTTCACAGAATAGAATATGCATTAGCTCCTGACAACTGAAAACCCACCCAAACTCCTATGTACTTCAAAACCTATTCATTAGATTCTGCTGTGCCTTGGTAAGCACTGGAAATATACTGTCGTGTGACAGGCTTCTCCTCTTCCTGGCGCACCCAGGAGGAGCCCAGCTATCACTGTGAATGTGTGTCTACATCAGCGAAAAATGCTGAATAGAAATGTTCACATTTGCAAATTATAATATTCTCTGTATTGTAGTGTTACTTTTATTTCTTTGTTCTTCTTGATCCCTTTCTGCTTTTCCCAACTTTAAAAAACAGTTATCATTGGTGGTGTTTATAATCAAAAAAGAAAAGTAATTTTAATCTGATGAAACAAGAACAGTTACCAGCTGTCAAGCAGGTCAGCCCTAGGACCACATTCTGGCTGAAAGGTGAACATATGGTGTTTCAAGGAAAGGGGGAGATTATAAATCAGACCCTTTCACCTCATAAGCTGCCTAGGGATCCTAATTTAATATAAACAATCACCTGCTCTTCCCAGCATCTCTCACCATCCCCAGAGGCAGCGGGACAGATGTTGACTCTGTCATACAGCCAATGAGAAACAAGCACTTAAAACTCCTCCACCAATAGCACGTGTCCTGTGTGTCCTTCAGGGCTGAGCCTGGACTCAGCTTCCGCAGGAAACGTGCTGTCCCTTCTGAGATGGGTTCAGGTCCCCCAGGACCCCGTGCCTTTGTTCCCACTGTCCTGGGGAGCAGAGGTCCATCTCTTCTATTCTTGGTGGGTGTCTAGCACCTGGCAAGGTTTTACACATCATGAGCCTCTGAAACTAATGTTTCCAAGTTAATCTGGATTCCTGATTAGTTTTCAGTTTTTGTTGGGAAGACCTTTGAAAGCACCAAGTGATCCACGATTGAGCGTCTGTGTAAGAGCACTTTGCAAATGGTGGGGCTCCACCAGGGTCTTGGGGGTTCTGTGACAGTGTGGAGGGGGCGGATACCATCCCCATACTCCATCACCAGCATCGGCAGGCGACCACAAACTCCATCCCTGAAAGGGCTACTCATAAGGACGGGGCTGTTGGAAAACACTAGTCAGTCTCAGTGCCACATGTTCTGAAAGTGTACGTTGCTGTACCAGCCGCCTGAATGCCACACTGGAATTAACATCCAAGCAACCAGCCTGGGACAAGACTTTCAGCGGGCATGAGACAGAGCCCCACGGACCAGCCCCTGA